GAGAACAGAAAGAAAGAATGAAGTTGTTGAACACAAAGTTCAAGAATAAAACTGAGCAAACTTACAGTTTGTTCAAACAGTTCGAGGTGTTGAAGACGAAGATTTAAACACAACAGGCTGTGAAAGATGTGAGCTGCTTTCTGGAAGGAAGCAGAGCATCACCTGTGATAAAGATGGACAGACAGATGGGTGGGGCAGCAACAGTGGAGTTCCTGGAACAGCAAATTTAGTGTGTTGAGAAACACTAAAAAAGAAGAATACTCCCCTAATTTTCAATCAGAATTGGTCTTGTCTTTTGTCTTTTTTTTAACTGTCTCTCAACACACTACACTCTCCCCCATTTTAAAAGATGTCTCCAGACATCTAGAGTAGAAATAACAAATATAACTATATAAATTCAGGTTTGTCGCTTGAAATGTTTATCGCTTGTCAAAGTGTCATTGCCCTAAAATGTCCACACACTGACAATGTGAACACTGACGATAATCCCCTTACCTACGTCCTGAGCACAGCTAGGTTAAATGCCACCGGACATCGCTGGGTTGGGGAGTTAGCTGACTTTCATTTCACCATAAAATATAGACCTGGTGAAGCTAATGCTGATGCTGACACCCTCTCACGTTACCCAGTCCCTCTAGAGAAACATGTGAGTGAATATACAGAAGTCATGACCCAGAGGTGGTTTCTGCAATCTGGCAGGGGGACGAAGCTATGAGAGGTGGTGATGTACCATGGGTGGCTGCATTAAGTTTGCTCCACATTGATGATGACACAAACAGTGAGGGCACCCCAGTTATCACCCCAGATAATATTAGAGCGGCACAGAGGGGCGATGCTGCCATCTGTGAGGTGATAAACCTGAAAATGAAGGGGTGGAAGCCAAACAGTAAAGATTAGAGTCAGATGGGTCGAGAGACACGCAGGCTGGTAAATGAGTGGAAAAGACTAACATTGGACAGGGGAGTGTTGTACAGACAGACTGAACAGAAAACAGCTGGTTTTACCCAGCAAACTGAAGCAAACGGTGTTAAAAACGCTGCATGATGACATGAGACATGTTGGTGCTGACAAAGTCATCCAGCTTGCCAGAGGGAGGTTTTATTGGCCTTTAATGCAAAATGACATTGAAGATTATGTCATCTGTCAGTGCAGTTGTGTCAAGCAGAAACAACCAAACGAGCTTCAGAAGCACCAATGGGTTCAATAACAACCAGCAGCCCTTTTGAGCTCATTTCTGTAGATTATTTGCACCTTGAGCCAAGCAGAGGTGGTTATGAGTACATTCTGGTTCTGGTTGATCATTTTACTGGCTTTGCACAAGCCTATGCAACTGAGAACAATTCAGGCAAAACGGCAGCTGAGAAGAGTTTTTATGACTTTATTCCCACTTTGGCTACCCTGAAAAGTTACATCATGACCAGGGAAAAGAGTTTGAGAACAACCTGTTCCACCGACTCCAACTAAGACTTGATGAATCCATTCAGAATCCATAAACAGGGTGAATGTGTATTCTGCTTATTAACCAGCAGGGGGAGACATCAGCGAGACAGAACTGGTTTTGATTGCTCAGTTTTGTAGGAAATGCTCATGTATCCCTTTAATAAGCAGATTTTTTTGTGAATTATTAATCCCATAAATTTATTTATTTATTTAAACAGAATATCCTTATTTTAGCTTAGGACCATGCTGCCAATAATTTCTTTGTTTGGTATTGTTATGATTTCTTTGGGAACTTTTAGACCTTCCTATTAATGTAAGAAATCAAGATAAACCGGTGGGTGTGGTGGGTGTGCTGCCCATAAAAATCTGTCCTCAGCCTGTCCGTCAGACCTCCTACTCCTGCAGGCTCCACCCTTTTACAAACTCTCATCGGAACGCAATAGAACCCAAACCTGTTTTTACTATGTGCATGACTTCTTTTGTTTGTCTCACATGTCTTGTGGTGTGACGACAGAAGGTTTTGTAAAAAATAAAAAAAATTATCCACCTTTTGAACTTGTAAGATTCACAGGAACACACTTTCGTTTACGCCTAGGTTGAAAGACAGCTTTAGTTGTTGTTCTGTTTGTACTTTTGCTAAAAAAGCAAACACCATATACTAATCAAGTCAGAAGTGTGTTCCAGAAACAAACCACTCACGGCCAACTTTCTTGGAATAACTTTGAGTTTTGGAGCTCAGGAGGGCGTGACAAGCAGTTTCAAAGTGTTCGATGTTTTTATTTCTAAATGACGGCTCACGTCGCAGGCTGCTGCACAACGCAGTTCCCCGTCATATAAAATGATCAGATATCGTTGCTCTTATTTCCTTAACAGATGTATGAGCAGAAACTGGAACTGCAGCATGATGTGAATATGCAATAAATTCATCTGATCTGATGATCAGTTTTCAGACGGAACCAACATGCAAACATCTTAAATATAAAACCAAACATAGAGAATCAACATAACTCCCTGTGTTACATGTCGGTTCATCTTTTTACTGTTGTTTTATGAATAAAAAATCATGTGCTTCAATTTCAGACTATGGGGTCGGCACAATGACACCAGATTTGATCGGAAAGTAAGACATTTTCTTCATCTACAGCTCAATCCACAGCACACATTTGACCCACCGAGTGTCTCTGAATGTGTATCATGTGGTGTTTCGCCAGCAGTGCAGAGTGGCTGGCCCAGCAGCTGGTGCTGGAGTTCAAAAGGAAGTGGCTTCCTTCCCACGTGCATCGGAGAGGACGGCAAAGCCTCCGCAGTTCACTGCAAGAGGTGAAAACTTAGCAGAGCCGAAAAGTTTGTTTGTTTTTTTCCTTGCAAACCGACCATGAGCATCAAAATTTGGCTAAATAAAGATTTGCACACCAGCCCTGTTTAGTCCGCTTTAGTCAAACTCTGGTTCGTTTACGTTCCGAGTTCCTTCATCTATGCTTAAAGTCACTATTGATTTGTGTTTAGTTATTTTGTTTCCAGTTTGTGTTGGAATGGATTTGTTACGTCTTCATAGCCCATGAGTTTCTGCATGGAAGCCTTAGTTGTTATAATGGGATTATAGATAAACTATGACCCCTCTTCCATTGGTCTCCATTAGTTACCAGGTACTGGAGGCGTGGAGGTAAAGACCGGGAGCCTGACGGAGGAGATCCGACTCAGGACCAGGATGAGGGGAACCCTTAACTGGGCACCGCCCAGTTTCCAGATCATTTTCTCTATCCAGCCACAACAAAGGTCATGACCCCTTCTGAGCAGACAGAAAATGTCAAAAACAAACAAAAAACTATCAGGGAAATGTGACTGGATGTTAAATAACCTTTTTGTTTCCTGCTCTAGACGGAGTGAGGTGGTAGCCTTACAACACTACCTGTGTGCGGGCTGTGGGACAGAGGTGGAGCCCAGTGAGTGTCGACGACAACCAATTCAGACATTTACATTTTGGGGATTTACGTTTGACGGACAGAACAATTAACTGTGATGCACACACGTTTTAGGAGTGCGACAATGCATCAAGCTTGCGAAGCGTGTATAATTCATGACACAAGAACAACATTTTAGCAATTTTGGGAAAACTAAGACTCACTATTTATTTATTTTTTTACAAATAGAGCAGAAGTTTCACCAATCCACAAAAATGTGATGAATAATTAATTCCAGCTTACACTAGATCATATTCTGCAGATATTAAGCTAATGCTAATGTATCACAAATGCTTGTGTTTCTTGTTTTACAAATAGATCAAAGGCCTCATGAATATTTTCACACTCCATACAATCATCCACTTCATGTTTGATCAAACTGCCTTTAGCTTTAGCACAGATAAGAGGCTAACTTCTGCCGTGTTTGCAGCTAACGTTTAGCTAGCAGCTGAACACAGTGCGAGCTTGTAGATTGTCTTTTATGTGTCATTTATTAGCTGAATATCTGAATCTAAACAGCTTAACGAGTTGGACCTTTTTCTAACTGAAGGCTGTATATCCAGCCAGACTAAAATTTACCCTACTGTCAACACAGCAGGGCAACTCAACCACTGCTTTTCCTGCTTCACAATAAGAAACTCAGAACAGCTGAGGCTCATAATAACTGCTTATATTTACATTACCAAATTATATGACATCAAGACTTTAATTTAGCAAGAAATGTGGTGCTCTAATACTGCAAAAATAAAAAAATGATAGTAATTAGAGAAACTATAGGACTGGACCGTTATGGTTATCAGTATGTAGCTTTTTACATGTGGCACCAATTCAAATTCAGCAGCTGCAGTGAACTAAAATCAAACCCCAACTTAGTGCTAACTGAGAAACGAATGTTCAAGTTTATTGGTAGAAAACTGAGTCTGAGTTCTTCTTCTGCTTCCAGGATACATCAAGAAACTGCGGCACTGTGAATACCTGGGAAGGTACGCAAAAGATGTTATTGAAGTATTTTATTGTCATTATTACTATGATGTCATTGTTAATTATTTCTGATTTTCTTTGACAGATATTTCTGTGACTGCTGCCACAGTGGATCAGAGGCAGTCATTCCGGGTCGAGTTCTGTCCAACTGGGACTTTAGCAGGTAAACAAATAAACAAATAAACATTAGTAATAATAACAATGTGTCACAGCCAAAGTACTGAAATGAATGACTGCTTTGGCTGATGATATATCTGACATTTGTGATTCTAGAAGAAGCATTTATTAATATTGTTGGAGCAGTGGGGCTTGAATGTTTTACTGAATTTTATCTAATTAAAAAAAATTATAACTAAAAGTTACATCTAAAGCATGATATTTTAATATTGCTACAAAAAGAAAAACACACTGGTGTTTTCACTTTTTGATATAAATTTAACTTCCCCCCCCCATAGACTTTAGTTATGCCACTCTGCTACATTTTCCTACTACTCTCCAGTTTCATAATTTTTTCAGTCGACGGCTTCGGTACCAAAAAAAAAAAATGCTTAAAACTGCTAATCTATTATTTTAATACATCTGAATACAAATCATGTTCTGAATGTTTTGTATTAAAGCATTTTTCTAACGACTGTGGTTCTGACGTGTTTGAGTCGATCAGCTCTTATTTTTTATAAGGTAACAAAACTGAAGCTTCTAAACGTCCCAAATGCAGGTAGAAACTTAACTATTAAAATGAAAACATGAAATTACATGAACTACATTTTTTTCCCCCCCAAATGGCAACCATCTGACATAAAGAAGTGGTAGAATGATCAATCAGCGTTTTAAAAATATGTGCAGCTTTGGTGGTTTGTGAAAACCCAGTTGGCAAAGAACTCAAATTTCTTTGAGATTTTCTGGATTCAAGAACAGAGTGTGTTAAAAACTGTTACACTGGTCTGAACATTGCAGGTACTCTGTGAGCGACTTCTCCAAGCAGCTGCTGGACTCGGTCTGGTCTCAGCCTCTGTTTGACCTCAGCTCCGTGGGAAAGGCTCTGTGGAGCAAAGTGAAAGACCTGGACAGGTTCAGGGTGAGTCGTTTTGGCGTTAGTAAGCGTATGCACATATCTATGTATCGCACAAATGCTGGGAGACGCTACACATTAAAAAATGAGACGCCGTCTGTCTTCATCTGTCCCCCTCAGGAGCTGAGGGAGCAGCTGATCGGGATCAGGAAGCTGCTGAAAGCCTGCAGATTATCTGAAAGGTGCGATATGGACATACGTAAAGCAAGTCTTTGATTTTCATGATCCAGGTGTGAGTGGCTGAAGAATGATTGTCGGGCCGAGATGAGCGAAGAGGGAACCCGAGGGAACCAACTCTGTTTGATGGTGGTGTCTCATGTTTAGATGACCTTTTTCACTCCTCTCTCAAAAATATGTCTTCCCTTTCCAAATGCAACCCTAAAATAGGGTCGATAGTGGCTGTACATGCTGTGGTTCTACATAAACACAGACTTGATATTTCAGATATTTTTCCATCTCATATAGAAAATGCCATTTGTTTCCCTCAAGTCAACTGAATCGCAAACTTTTGAGCTTCTATTCATTTCTTGGGTTTCTTTGCACAATGAATAAAACTTTTGCTTTTGCTTTGGAGTAAGTAAAGGCTCATGAGACACACAATAGTTAAATTTTTTAAGTCCAGTCTTATTCCAAACAAAAGCACAGAAACGTATTCAGAATTACAAACAAAACTAAACTAAGGAATAAAATTAGAGAAATATATAAAATTCAAAGGAATGTACAATAATACATTTGTAGTTTTCTTTTTTAACAGACGTTCATATTTTTGGAAAGAATGCTGTGGCTGAAGAATGATAATTTAGTTATTAATACTTTTATCTTTTCTTAGTTTTAATTTATTTTGGGGGTTCTACAAACAGCGTTAATTTAAAACAAACCTGATTTTAACACATATACAACAGAAGCATGTGTGTGTGTTGGTGAGAGGAAATGTTAAGTGATATATGAAAGTGAAAAAGAGACCAGTTCCGCTGTCATTGTTGTAATTTCATTTTAACATGAAACTAACAGAAATATGGAGTTTTACACATTTTTGTGGTTTCTTTGAACAAATTGACTTTATGGTTCTTTTATGAGTTTTTAAATTAGTAATTTCATATGGAGGAGTTTATTTTTGTTTCAGGAAGATGCACTTCCTGGTTTATTGCTTTTTTTTAATTTTGAAGAAGCAATCAGGCAGCAAAAGTGACGCAAAGTAGAATCACTTCATCAAAACTCAAACCAACATAACTTAAATCTCACATGTGTGATACTGAGAACCGGAGCACAGCGGCTAAATGTGTCGTTTCAGCTGAAACGTTGGCTGCCTGTAAACATTTTTGACGTGATGCTGTGTTTCTGCTGCAGGGTGTTGGCCGAGTTTGAGCCACTTCCTGCTCACCTGCTGGACGAGCCTCTGCTCTTCTCCATGGAAGACCTCTACAGGGTGAAGAAGGGCCAGCTGGTGGCGCAGGCCCGGGCGCTGCTCACCGCCGCCGTGGAGCACGTCGACAACTGTGAGGTTGGTCTTACCGAGCTGCACTCTGGACGACAGTTCAGTCAGTCCGTCCATCTGGACACCAGTGCTGTTGCTCTTGCCTACAGTGTGAAGAATGAAGTGACGATTGCAGCGTTGGGCTCAGATCAAACTCTCTGATATTTTCTCCTCTTCCCTGCAGCTGTGCAGGGGCCGAGGCTTCATCTGCGAGTTCTGTCGAGCGAAGGACATCATCTTTCCTTTTCAGAAAGACAAATGCCAGCGATGTCCAGGTAAGCATGATTAACACAACCTAACAAAGCATTAGTCCTGAAGCATGACGGGGCAGTTGGAAATATTTTTTCTAATCTACACACTAAAGCTACAAGGTCAAAGGTCAAAGTGGCATCAGCGTTCTTTAATATGGACATTAATGCTGAGTGGAGTAGACGACAAGTACGGGTGTTTTCTCACCTGAAGGTCAAGTAGACTCTGTTTGATTCAGGGACAACATTGCAACGTTTGTTTCATTTACAGCTGGTGTGGTTCACTTTCACACTGCACTGTGTCAAACGAGCCAAACTTGTTTTCCCCCTCGCCTGTGGTGGCGCTGCAACAACTACTACTGAAGGAATTCGGTGCAAAAACCTCTGAAGAAGACATGAGCGCAACTTTCTTCTTCATGAAATGTAGACAAAATAGGAGCAGTGTCAGATTTTAACAGCTGTAGGATTTCTCTTTAGTCTTTGGCAACAAACCACAAACCATTTCTCTCGCTAGTGCTGGACTCGCATGCTTGTTTTGGTTGTATTTACCCAGAATGCTCTGCGCTATAGTCCACATCCTGTTTTTGGAGCGGTGTTCGGTTTGGCCTTCGAACCGTGCCGGAGTTCACTTCACCCGAACCGAGGCCTGCGTTTTTAGGCGGACCAGAGTTTGCTTTTTTGGTCCGCATCAGAATTCGATTACACATTCACGCCTCCCCAAATGAACCGGATTTTCTAGGCAAACAAACTAGAGGTGTATTAAAGAGGACCAGCCCTGCGACGGACTGACGACGCCTCTTGTCTGCTGGAGATGGGCATCTGCAACATGCCTGAAGTTCATTCAAACTGCAAGAAAGTGAGAGAGCAATACTTTGATTGAAAAACAAAAAGCTAAGAAGATTACGGGAAACTTGCTCTGTTGAATTTCTCAAGGAGTGTAGAAATATCAGTTGGTTTATCAGCCTTATCCTTTCCTTGGAAATGTGAAAGTTAAGGTAAAGCTACATTCTCCAGGGAACGCTCATGGGATTTATTGGTACCCGTTCAAAAACTCTAAATCTGAAATCGGCCACCAGGCTTTACAATTCACTGAGATGTATCTAAGCCATAGCTACTTATTAAAATCACTCCTGATTGTGCATTCACATGCAACATGTTTTCTGTCTTCACAGTGTGCAAGACCTGCTTTCACAAAGACTGTTTCCTGGGGAAAAGGTGTCCGAAATGCACACGGATCCAGTCCCGAACAAAAGTCCAGACGAAGTCATGAAGTGCGACACGAACAGAGATCTGCTGCTGGGAACCACTACACCTCTCTGGGATGTCATCCTAATTCAGTGCTGTCCCCTTTATCAGTGTTACACTTTCAAACATTGCACTTAGAAATCTTTTTACAGCTGTAATTTGCTGTCTTTTGAAATACTTTTGTTTATTTATTTGCCCTAAAACGAATGAGTTCCTTCTCCTACATGGTTGTCACATTTTTCTTCCAATATTAAACATTTGAGACAATCTTGTTTTTATCAGTGTTATCACTGAGTCACCGGAAGCAGATAGTATTTGTGACATCCAGTGGCTTTATCCAAACAAGCATCAGCAATTCTGCGAGAAAATGACAAAAGCAAAGTTTCACATATTAATTTGTGAAAACAAACTCAGATGTTATCTGAGATTGACTTTGTTTTAATCAGAGGACAAAAACTCTGAAGTTCTCTGGGAATAATGTCAATAACTTGACAACTCTATAGATATACCAACTGAAAAGCTCTCTGAAGTTTTGAGAGAAAACATCAAAAAAGTACCACAGAAGTTTATTTTGTGTCTTGCTTAATGAGCCCAATTAAAACTGGGTGTAAACATTCATCTCTCCAAAGATCAGTGACGGTTGAGAGAAGTTTAGCTGGATGTATTGTGTATAATTCATCTGCTTACAGACAGAAACAAACACACAGGCCCCAGTAGACCCCAGTATGTGTTTTTGTTCAGCCCGTTTAGCCTCTGAACGGCCGGTGAAACTCTCCTGATGGAAGTTCAGTTCACACCTTCATGGATTACCGTCAGACGAGGTCGTCTCAGCCTCTGAGGTGTGGTTACAATTAAAGGTGTGAAAAAAAAAAAACATGTCAGCAATGACAGGATGCAGACAAACACTAGCGTGATGCAATCGCTGCCAACATTTTTCACTTGGGTTGGAAATATCTCTTAACTTTTAACAGTTTCATCATCCAGATAACAAGCTGCATTTTAAGTAAAGAGTTGATATCTAACTTTTTACCCCCACCAAACCTGCACACTGCTTTTACTCTGAAATTTCACAGCCAGTTTTATGTTTGTTTTTTTTTTATAGCTCAGTTAACTACAAAATTAACAGAACTACTACAGTGACATGAACAATGACTAAGGCATAAAAAAATAAACCTGGGGTTGTGTCTCGTTCCTGCATCAGTTTTTATCATGCAGCTCAAACAGCCTGTTCTCTTGCTGGACTGATGCAAACTGCAGAGCACGTTTGTCCACGTTCAGTATGAGAGCTACTGACCTACAACTTTTGTTCTAGTTCAGTTTGTATGTTTTATATATTTAATATCACTAAGTGATTAACAGTAAAAGCTCAGACTGAAGTGGAGATCTGAGGAAATTCTGTTTGTAAAATGAGAAAAATAACTTTTCTTTAGTGTCTGTGACAAATAATGCGCCGGCATATCCACATACTTGTTTTAATAACTTCATACTCTAATAAAATAATTAATATCAGTTTAACCAACATATCTGTCCACAAAGTTAAACTCCTGGCGCCATATTTAATTCCCAACTGGAAGTCTGGAAGTTTTGAAGCAATCTGATTGGCTGACAGGTTTTAGCTTTGTGTTACACTGCCCCCTATGGGTTTGGTCAATTTAAAACAACGGAGCGTACTTGTGCTGGTCCCTTCGGATAAATTATTCTGAAACCGATCACACGTGTACAAAATTATTTTTTTAAACAATGTGGCGGAGATTTTTGATTTCAACAAGACCCGACTACGTGTTTACAAAACCTTAAACGCATCTCTTCGTCAGGACACCTAAATTACATGATTGACTGGCTGCTGCTAAGAAGAACGACTGATGATGAGGGAATTCAGCGGTTTGATACAGGTGTGTTAGGGCATTGATGCATCCGGCAGCTGCTTCTGTCGGACTGTGTGTTTGGCTAGTGACAGCCACATTGCTGGCCTTTTTGACCTTTTAATCCAAATAAGTGACTTATAACCACAATCAGAAGTAATCGTGCCTTAATCATGTTTTATAAGGAAAATGAAGAGGAAAGATGGACAGAATGCACAGAAGGAACCAAGCAAAACCCACCATGTGTCGTCCAGAGGGAACTTCAACACCAGACTGCCAACGGACGACGAGACTATACATCACTGGTTAGGAGGAACAAATACTATGGGCATCGCAACAGTGATGAATGGAGCAACTACCAGAAACCACCAGAACGAAGACGCCGCCCCAGAATCCAGCGACTGTAGCATGCGGACTACAGGAGCAGTGTGAATGGCAGAGACGGGTTTTCCAGAACGCACCACGACACACAGCCTTCAGACTGAAGGTTTGAATCTTACACAAAATAATTAAGACAGTCCACTATATTCAGCAGTAACACAGAAAACTACCAACCCTCTGACGTTTTCTCTATGGTCGTTATACTTCCTGCTCTTTCTTTTTTTTAAAGCTTTTGTTGGCTCTAGTGGCCTTTATTTGAAAGTTTTCCGACAGGAAAGAAGGTAATGAGAGGGAGAAGACATGCGGCAAATGTGGCCAGTCAGGGAATTGAACCTGTGACTACTGCCATGAGGACTAAGGCCTCCTTACGTGGGTCAGGCTTTGCCCCTGCACTTTCCTGCTCTTTCTGAATTACAACGGTTCAGCCCCGTCCGAAAAGACTGGCGGAACCCATTTAACGTAGCGTCCACCTGGGCCAGAAGAAACTCGGACCACCAAGCGGAGAGTAAACGAAGAATAGGTGACAGACCCTGATAGAGGTGAGTGAGTTATCAGCAGCTGCAGGTCCCAGTCCTGATGACATTGTCACCCCTGTTTCTCAGAGACCTTCAGCAGATGTACTGATGGCAGGCCTTTCTCTCTAGAACCTGTCAAAATCACTCCAAAGAGACCTAGAGCTACACCTGGCATGCGCAGACCCATCGAACAAACTGCAGGATGGAAACCTAACCATGAGGAAGAAGTGGCTCATCCTCGGGCTTTCCAATGTGACCAGATTTCCACAATTTGGCATTAGGATTCTCCAGGTGGACAGCTTCCCATTGTGGAATGACAATTACAGAAGTTGAGCCTGTCGTTCGACGGGATAAACAATCAGGGTACCGAAGACCAGGCTCCCACCAGCAAAGATCTTTATTCCGAAGATCAACTTTGATCCTCTGCTCCCACACAGAGTGGTCCGTCCTCCATCATCTTAACGGACACATTCGGACATACAGGGAACACGGTCCAGCTCTGACTGAGGTTTTCCAGACGGAGAAGGACGGTGTTCATTGGACCAGTACCACCGCGTCTACGGTACCGGTCAGCTAACGTAAATGTTCCCATTATCCAGAGAGCACTGGAATGGGATCTGACTATGATCGGACATTTAAAAGCTTCTGCTGCTCAATTAAATCTTTTGAACACAGATTTGACTTTTATACCCACAAAAGGTTGTAATAAAGACATTAAAATGCAAAGCAGGTATTGTTGAATATACGAGCCTTATATTCGTATAAGGCTTTATAACTCTTATAACTCGGCTTTATTAACGGTTGCAAAACACTTACACGCTAACAGACTCTTGTATGCGTGAATCTTCTGCTGCAACCACAGTAACAGCAACAAAGTGACATAAAATAACAATGTTATATACAGGTATGACCTTCAGTAGCACCACTGAAAACACAGGCTGAGAGGAAATCCTGGCCAACAACTTTGACAGGAACGCTCTTTGGCAACTAGAAAGCAGCTGATAATTAACGAGAGAAATAAATGATTCGAGGGTTGAAAAACAAGCAAGTGAATAGAAAATGTTTTTTTTTTTATCATTTCAATTTTACCCATTTTTTGTGCAAGATGGGCTAAGGTTAATTTCCAATTGTCTGAGCAATGTGTATTCAGTTTGAAATAAAAGCTGATCAAAGATTCAACCGGACGTCTTCTGTGCCATAAAAAGTAGACAAGGGAAAATCCTGACTTAAGTTTGTTTACCAAAACTTTAATTTGACTAGCAGAGCAAGAGGGGAGAGTGAGTCAAACATTCCCTGCTGACGTTACCAGAAGGGGAGGGATGATTAAGAAAACGTTAAATTAGCAGTACAGCGCTGGCAGATCAGAGGAGCTGTGGACGTGTGAAGATGGAGAACAAGGAGAGAGGTGAACTCTGCTTCCCACAACATCTCAACACCTCCTGCAGAAAGCCGAGACCCGCCTGGTCTGAGGGCGTCGTCCTGAACGTCACTTTATTCATCTCTCTGCTGACTGTCATGCTCAACTTGCTCATCATCATCTCTGTCTCCCATTTCAGGCAAAAACACGTTTTTAGAGAGTAAACGGTTCAATTTCAGTGGACTGAAAATGAAACCTTTGATAATTTGGTCCTTTGTTGTTTTTTTTGTCTCTGTTCATCCAGGCAGCTCCACACTCCCACTAACGTCTTCATCCTCTCTCTGGCTGTGTCAGACTTCCTGGTCGGCCTCCTGCTGATGCCTTTGGAAATCTTCAGGAACACAACCTGCTGGTTCCTCGGGGACGTCGCGTGTGTCCTCTACAGTTACCTGATTACTCACGTTGTCTCCGCTTCAGTCGGAAATATTATCATTATATCAGCTGACCGCTACGTGGCCATTTGTGATCCTCTGCACTACCCCACCAGGATCACTTTAGCCAGAGCCAAGTGCTGCGTCGGTCTCTGCTGGCTCCTGTACGGCACCTACAGCGTCTTCTACTTAAAAGACGAGCTGGTTCACCTCGGCAGGGCTAACTCCTGCGTCGGACAGTGCGCCATTGTGGTCAACGCTGTAACGGGCACTGTTGATCTAATTTTGAATTTTATATTTCCGGTCACAGTCATCGTGGTGCTGTACGTGAGAGTGTTCGTGGTGGCCGTGTCCCAGGCCCGTGCCATGCGCTCCAACGCCACTGCCGTGACCATGCGGCTGTCGGTGGGCCTGAAGTCGAAGAAGTCGGAGCTGAAAGCAGCCAGGACCCTTGGAGTTGTTGTCTTTGTGTATCTAATGTGTTACTGTCCGTTTTATGGTTACGTTCTTGTCATAGTGAACCTGCCTAACACTCCCTCTGTGCCTTTTCTGTTCTTTCTCTTCTACTTTAACTCTTGCATGAACCCCATGATCTACGCCTTGTTCTACTCCTGGTTCAGGAAAGCGATCAAGCTCATTGTCACACTGCAAATCCTGCAGCCCGGATCCTGTCAGGCCAACGTACTGCAGTGACACTGAAAGACGTGTTTCAGTTTTTCTGTCTCTACCATAAGCTCACCGCTAAATAAAAATAAAATGCTGTAACACATTTGATAACAAACAACTGATAATCATAATGTGGTTCTTAAGAAAATGCATCTTCTCATGACTGTTTTTTAAGTGACAATAAGCAACGTCCATATCATTAATACTTTAATAGCGCTGCACAATTTTAAGGCTGAAGGTTTCCTTCCTTCACATCACAAACATGTCAGAATCAAATACAAAGAAGTCAAAGAAAATTAGTCTCGCCATGAAGTTGTAGGGTAAAATTTGTGTTGAATCCTTTGTGGAAAACTTTTTTTTTTTTTTTTTTGGAACAACCTTCAGATTTTTCTCACATGGAGAAAATAGTCACATGCATGGCGCGTGTGATTACATTCAACAACAGCGCTGTTAGATGCCGGCATCCTGCATGTTTCTGGCTCAGTACGATTCAGGCGCATCACAAAAAAATCCTTCATCATTTTCTACGTTGTTTCATTGTGTCATCTATGTGGTCATTGTCTGCATCTGCTTAAACTTTTATAAATTTACTAAACCAAATCTCCAGTAAGTTCTTCTGAAAATGTTATTAAAAAGTTTAATGTATTTATTCACAGAAATTGAAAAAAAGAAAAAAAAAACTGTTCATTACCGATTAAAGTGAAAAAGCTTTGCTTCCTTCTCTTTCTTGAAAACACAATAAACTGACTTGAAAATCAAGGTATATGGCAAACCTACTAAGGTTCCTCACACCCTCCACCTGCTGCTCTTCTAGCGGTCGCTAAATGATGTCCTGGCCTAATTTTGCATAGTTTGTCATTTGTAGAAAGGAACATCAAAGTTAGCAAGACAAAAAGTGGTTAAAAATACTATAAACCTAAACATGTTCAGAACTACAAATAAAGCAATTTAATAATATGAACAGTTTGCCCTAACCTACACTAAATCAGTTTTGTGTAATCTATTTAACCAAAAGACAACGTGGTGAATCGTTGTCTGCTTTTCCATTACAAATGTGCACAAATGTCTGTATCCTGCTAATGTTGAAAGAACACAATTTAGGAATTGTAGTGTTTCCATTAAATACGACGTGACGTGAAATAAGTTATGAAAAAGTTACATGAAATACACTCATCATGGCTGCCATCAGAAAAGACGTTGCCTCTTATAAATAGGAGCCGCTACATATGCACTATTTTGGGGAAAATTGTAACCGCTAATTTTACAGAATAGTTATGGATTCAACAAGTCTGAATGACACACAACTTTTTATGAACTGTGCAATGCTGAGAGAGCTCCGGTTCAGCCAGCTACGTTGTCCAAATAAAACAAACCGTTCCTGTCGTCTTCTTCCATGTTTTCGGCAGTAGTAACATCCGAGAGTTGATCATGCAACTCGTATGATGCGAAAAAAAGTGTTCCTATTGCAGTTTTACGAAATAAGTATATTTCAATGAGGCTGATCCCAGCTCCAAAACTTATCAAAAAGAGTTTTCTTTTTCCACACTTGGCATGTTTATGTTATGCAGATTTATTTCAGTACTATCAATTTGTGCAACTTTATGGTCAATGGAAACGCAGCCAGCGAGTGAGGTTGTGTGAACAACAGTTATGGCAAAAATATGTATATATATCCATCCATCCATTTTCTTTACACCCTTATCCCTTAGTGGGGTCAGAAGGGGTGCTGGTGCCTCTCCAGCAAATGTTCCAGGTAGGGTCACCCTGGACAGGTCGCCAGTCTGTGCAGGGCAACACAGAGACAAACAGGACAAACAACCATGCACACACACTCACATAGGGACAATTTGGAGAGGCCAATTAACCTGACAGTCATGTTTTTTGGATTGTGGGAGGAAACCGGAGTACCCAGAGAAAACCCACGCATGCACAGGGAGAACATGCAAACTCCATGCAGAAGGACCAGGGCCGGGAATCGAGCCCAGAACCTTCTTACCTTCTTGCTGCAAGGCAACAGCTCTACCAACTGCACCACTGTCCAGCCCCATGTATATATGTATATAGTTTAACAATGAAAGCTGCATGTCTTTAGAAGTTGTGTTTCCATTGACCCAAAATTGGAATTCTGCACATAAATTTGCCTAATAGAATCATGCAAATTTTGAAAAAAATTCTTCTTTGTGTAAGGATGAGGGGTTTTTTTTCTGCAATATTGAAATTAGTATATTTTGCTATACTGAAAATGGGAACCCTTCTTTTTCCCCCATCGCGAGTCGTGGTCAACATCTGGATGTTACCACTGGCGTAAAAGTCACGCAGAAGACGACAGGAAGTGGTAGGAGGAGAACGGTACGGCATGTTTTTTACTGAACCAACTTCTTCTTGTCTGACTTTTTTTTTTCATAATTAAAATTTTCATTTGATTTTTCGCTTATGAACAGAACAAACACAAACAAAAATGTAAACGTAAACCTATCTGGTTGGTACAGGATAATTTACTTTAATTTCAGATGTAGTAATAAAGTACAACTTAGGTGCATAGTGTAGTCGATACCCGTTGGAGTATTTCATCCCCTCTTAGCCTCCACTTTGACTCTTAATGGGAACAGTGAAATTGTGTTTTGTTTTTTTCCCCTCCAACATTAGAGGAATATTGACAAAGTTTTGCACACATTTGTAATGGAGACGCAGCTGGAGAGGAGTGTCTACAGGAATGACAATGGGGAGGCAGCGAGGAACGTGATAAATCTGCAGCACTGAAGACGGTTCTGGTCAGAGAGGTTCATCTCCCTGCTGATGGAGACCCGGAGCTCAACTGAACTTTGTTTCCCGCAACTTCTCAACAACTCCTGCAAGAAGCCGGAGCGTCTCTGGTCTGAAGCTGTAATCCTGGACATGGTGCTGCTCGTCTCTCTACTGACCGTCACTCTCAACCTGCTGATCATCATCTCAATCTCTCACTTCAGGCAAGAAGCATCTTTCAGAATCACCTCTTGCACCCTACGGATACCTAAATTTAAAATTTTAGCCACTTATCTCTTGGATTTGTTAGTTATTGATATTTTTGTCTTCCTTCCAGGCAGCTCCACACACCCACTAACATCCTCCTCCTCTCTCTGGCTGTGTCAGACTTCCTTGTCGGTCTCCTGTTGATGCCTCTGGAAGTCCTCCGAAACAAAGCATGCTGGTTCCTCGGAGATGCTCTGTGTGTTCTGTACAGTTACTTGGTTGCTCACGTTGTCTCCGCTTCCATCGGAAATATCATCCTCATATCGGTTGATCGCTATGTTGCCATTTGTGATCCCATGCATTACCCCACCAGGATGTCCGCGGCCAGAGTGAAATGCTGCGTTTGTGGGTGTTGGTTCTGGTATGCGCTCTACAGCGTTTTGTATTTGAAGGACGAGCTGAGGAGGCCGGGCAGCAGTAACTCTTGTTCCGGAGAGTGCATGGTTTTTATCAACTATGCCGTGGCCACCGTCGATCTGGTTCTGAATTTTATAATCCCGGTTACCATCATCGTAGTGCTGTACACCAGAGTGTTTGCGGTGGCCGTGTCTCAGGCCCGCGCCATGCGTTCTCACGTTGCAGCCGCCAGACTGCAGCTCCGCGGGGAGAGAAAGGAGCGAAGGGCCAAAGCGTCGGAGCTGAAAGCGGCCAGGACGCTGGGTATCCTCGTCTTTGTGTATCTGATGTGCTACTGTCCGTTTTATTGCTACACTCTTGTTGAGGTCAGTTTGACGACCACTTCTCCCACGCCTTATTTGTTCTTTCTCTTTTATTTTAACTCGTGCTTGAACCCTGTGATCTACTCCCTGTTCTACCCCTGGTTCAGGAAAGCAGTGAAGGTCATCGTCACTCTGCAGATACTGCAGCCTGGCTCCTGTGAGGCCAGCATGCTGTAGGGGAGCTTCGGCCTGGCGGCTCTGGTCATTTACGGTGCTCTGCTTGTGCAATTTCAAGTTGAATTTGTGCGGCTATTGCCTTTTTCTGTCTCAAAATAATGTCATTACCTACAAATTGTTTATTCGTCATTTACATCTAATTTTCACAAAAAAAGAGACAAAAGCAAACATAAATGATGTTATTGCTTCAACAGTAGACTGAGCTTTTTATTTTCTAATAAAAAATACCTACAACTAGACTCATTGTCCTCCTGCTTTTCTTGTTCACTCTTAATTACCCGGCACATTCGCATTATCTGCTACGTTGCCAACTCAAATCCACTGCAGCCCAAAGCTGTGTGACATGGAAACCTTTCGAAAAGCCTGATATATTAAATAAAAAAGACACAAACTCACAAAATATATGGAAACGTGTGTCTGCTTTATTTGTGCAAAGTGGAATGAAATTAAAATGAATCTCCAATGTGTGTTTGTACACAAATGTCAAGCAACACAAAAGCAGACATTTGAGTTTGATTGCCCATCACTGCATTATAAAGCTAAATGTGAATTTTGTTTTATAAATGCAAGTTGAGTCTGAAGTCTTTTTTTTTTTTTTTTAGCCCGATGTCAAGTCTTAAGTTTCTAATGACTGAAATAAACTTTTTATTCAATTAGAAACATCCAGGTCCCATATAACTCTGCATTGCTGCAGGTTAGATTCCCTGAACTGTAGTTTTGTCCTCAGGTCTTGACTTATAATATGAATATTTATTGTTGAATCTCTTGTTATATTATAATGATGTCACATTTCAATTGTCCAACAGCTTAAGTTTGATTAATTTCATTTACCACCTTAGAAATTGACATTTATGCTCCAACAATAGTAGAGATTAAACTCTGTTAATGTTGAATCTCTGAATCGGTGCTTTCTTTGTCTTTGTAATGCCTGTTAACAAATCATTTCATATTCTCCACTCCTTTAATTAAATTTAAAAAATATTTGATAAACCCCAAACTGAAATGTTAACATTGGGAAACCAACTAAACTATAAATGTGTTAAAATGTAATAATGACAGAGATAAAATGTGGTCAAATAAATGTCAAGTTTCTGAATGAAGTGTGTTTATTTTCAAAAGAACCAAACAGAAGATGCTTTTATTCTTTATTTTCAGCCATTAGTGTCTCTGTCACAGGATGAAACACCAAACCTCTCCGGCCTCTGAACACCAGCAAGTTTAACCTGTTAGCAGTTCTTCACAGGCTGCAGCGTTCCTGTTTTTCTGTGCCACAAACTGCTGAAATAGCACTTTTGTCTTGGTCTGAACGTCACACAAGAAACTCATAAAAATATACAAACTATCGTTCCTAATAACATTTGAGACATTAAATGTTTTCCAGGCACTGTACAAGCAGTCGGCACATTTTAAGCAGCACATTGTTATGGTACCTAAGAAAATCCATCAATCCCTCAGAGTCGGACTGAGCATGAATGCAGCGACAGTGGAGAGAAAGATTCCCTTTGAACAGGAAGAAACCAACAGCTGAGCGCGGCCCGGTGGCCATCTGTCATGGCCGACTGGCGTTTCAAGACATAAACATATATGCCTACATAGAAAGTTTATACTTTTAAACTCCACTGCACTCAGTCTGAAATGACAAAGCACAGATAATTAGACTGCAGTTATGACTAACTGAGGTAAACATACTGAGGCATCGCTGTTCAGCTTGGCCAGAATAGGTGTTCTTGAGGCACCTGAATTAACAGTCCTGTTCATTATGATGACTTACCCACTCAATCTCGCCATCTCTCCCCACATGATAGCAAAAGGCCATCTGCAAACAGAACATCAGAGGAAGGGCCTAGCTATAGTACATCAACTGCTGTAGTTCAATTTTGCAATCCCCTCAGATTGCTGAGCGCATCTTGCAATCCTCATCTACGCTAAGGATTCGTAAAGGTTAGTTGTGAGCCTCGCTGAGCTGCGTTGTAGTACAATGCCTGGCCTCACGGTGCGGACAAGAACGCCACATGATGTCCCATCCTGCTGCCTTCGGTGGGAGACTCTGGAACATCTCCACTTCCCAATAGTCAGGCGGTCAATGCCACCGCATTGTGGGTCAACAAAGCCATTAACAAACACACATCCAGTTGGTTTGGATACTTGCTTTTTTCCGACCTTTCACAGATCCCTGTCATATTGCGATCATGAAATTTGTCCGAGATCAAGGCCCTGTTCTGCCTGCCCAGAGTTGAAAGGTACGCATTGATTACCTCACCAAATTCACCTGTTCTTTAAAACACCCGGACAGTCCAGCAGGTCTACCAACAAAGTGAAACAGGTGTTGTAACAATGTGCCTCTGACTTTTAAACCTTCAAAGTGTTGAGCTGTATGAACAACCAGTGATCGAACTGAGACCTACAGGAACGTCTGTGGTGTCCAGTTTATTCAGAAGACCGGTAGCGGAACCAGTGCTTCCCCTCGGGTTTCAAACCACCAAGCTGCGGAGCCTCCTGGAGAGGATGAGGTCAGGCGTTTGGTTTGCATGAAAGAATCAAAGCAAAGCTCCAAGTTTGTTTTTGAGGAGTGAAAAGCACTGTAAGATGATAGAAAGCTCAATAGCTGATTTTACAAAACACTGAACTCAGCAAACCATTTTGAATCAGGCAGAGGAAACTTTTGTGAAGTCCCACAAATGTAATTGTGTCCCTATCAACGAACTGTAACGAATGAATTATCAAGATGGAGGTTCAGTCCAAAAAATGATGAATAATTAGGTCAGAGTAGAGAAACACATTAGATAATCTTGTGTTGTAGCACACACATATTACATGACAGCTACAAACTTTAATTTCACAAACAGTTCAGAACAAGCAGCTTGAGTTGTGGTTGTTAAAACTGAACTGTTGTGCTTTCCTAATGAGCAGTCAGCTTTAACTTTCATTGCCATAGATCCATGTCTATCAACGGAAGTTAACTTTAAAAACATATCAGAATTATCCTTTGGCCATTAACGACTCCGTAACACGCACGCACACACACACACACACACACACACACACACACACACACAACTCCAGTGAGATTAACAATGCTTCTCTGTAAACACATGTTTTGTAGCCAATTACTTGTTCCTAATGGCTTCTCGCTGAGCCTCATTAGACGGGTTTCTTCACACCTCTATGTATTAGTCGTATGATCTCCAAGGCGCCGCTGCAATCAAAGGTGTTAGCATGTTTCAGGATACACAGCATGACGCAGCCAGCACACATGATGCAATCTCTTCACTAAGTTCTGTTATGACTTTAAGTTTTTAGGCTTCTGGCATCTCATCAGTTAAATATGAACAATTCTTTTCAAAGTCATCATTTAACATTTTTTTTTCTGAAAGAGTCGTGATATTTTAGTGTCCCAGCCCCTTGTTTTAGGCCACTGGTACAACTATAGCTGTTAAACCAGTAAAAAACAAAAAACTCAGACATTTGTCCATGTTTCTTGCATAAAGGGGGCTGCTGCACAGTGGCGGAGTTGGTAGCACTGTTGCCTCGCAGTAAGAAGGTTCTGGGTCCGATTCCTGGCCTGGAGTGTTTCACTAAATCCTCCTTGGTGTGTTTGTCTGTGTTGCCCTGCAAACGACTGGCGACCTGTCCAGGGTGACCCCGTCTCTTGCTCATTGACCGCTGGATAGATTCACCAGCGCCGCTCACAACTCCACAGGGATAAGCTACTTTCAGTTACTTAAATAAAAATCCTTGATGACCAGCTGTCATCAAGGATCGTTGGCCAATAATATGTTGGTACAACAGAAATTGCTCGATCTGTTCAAACAACATATTGACAGAAAATGAATTTACATGTACAATTATATATTCACAACAAAAACAATGGTGTCAAGACCAGACAATGGATGAAAGTACTTCTCATACTTTTCATGCTCATGTTTGTTGAAATGTTACAAGTATACACAAAATAGGGTTAGTGGTCATATTAATTTCACATTTGAATTCACAACTAGAAGAACGAGCCATCTCAGTTCTAAAGCAAATACTAAAAAAAATGTTTAAGGGTAAGTATGAAAACAGGTCAGTTTTCAAATTCATCACAGAAATGAAAAAGCTCCAATTAAACCAGAATCAAAACTTTTTTGCCCAATGTGCGTCAAATTGGATCGGTGCATCTCTAGCAACGCATAGCATAAAAACAACATAGGATTTATGTTCAATTTTCCTTTGGGGTCAATGAAGTATTTCAAATTTGAACATGACCACCAATGGAGGCTTGACAACGTGCCATGGAGGAGCGTCAATGGTGATCTGTAGAGACCAGAGGAGGGGAGACAATGGAGAAGCGAAAACGTTTATAAACCAGCACAGAAAGGTGAAGTCAGGGAGACGGACGCCTCGGGATGGCGACGCAGGAAGAGGAGGAACTCTGTTTCCCGCAACTCGCCAACAGCTCCTGCAGGAAGCTGACGCTTCACTGGTCTAAAGCTGTGCTCCTGAACACTGTGCTGTCCTTCGTCTCTCTGTCCACTGTCCTTCTCAACCTGCTCATCATCATTTCAATCTCCCACTTCAGGCAAAGATGAAAGCAGTTCTAGCTGGGTAGAAACGCATAGAGCCGTTATTTTAATGTCTTTCTGTTTGCCTTTCTTTCTGTCTCATTCCAGGAAGCTTCACACCACCACCAACGTCCTCCTGCTCTCTCTGGCGGTCTCAGATTTCCTTGTGGGTCTCCTGTTGATGCCCGGAGAAATCTTTCGAAGCACAGCCTGCTGGTTTCTTGGGGATGTCATATGCTCTCTCTATTGCTACCTGGTCTGTCAAATTGTCTCTGGTTCCATTGGAAGCATCGTTCTCATATCGTTTGACCGCTATGTAGCCATTTGTCACCCTCTGCATTATGCCACCAGGATCACTTTGGGGAGAGTCAAGTGTTGTATCGGTCTCTGTTGGCTCGGTGCAGGTTTTTACAGCATATTTTACGTGAGGGATGAGCTGATTCAACCGGGCAGGAGCAAATCCTGCTTCGGAGAATGCACGTTCGTGATAAGCTACGTGACCGGGACCGTCGACCTGGTTCTGAATTTTATATTTCCGGTTTCGATTATCGTGTTCTTGTACGTGAGAGTGTTCGTGGTGGCCGTGTCTCAGGCCCGCGCCATGCGCTCCCACGTCACGGCCGTCACGCTTCACTGCTCAGTGAACGCAGCAACCAAAAGGTCAGAGCTGAAAGCAGCCAAGACTCTGGGCATTCTCATTGTTGTGTATCTAATGTGCTACTGTCCGTATTACAGTTACTCCGTTGTTGAAGTTAATGTGACCAGCACTGTGTATGCCTCATTTTTGATCTTTGTCTTTTATTTTAACTCCTGTCTGAACCCTTTGATTTACGCCCTGTTCTACCCCTGGTTCAGGAAAGCCATTAGGCTCATCATCACCCTGCAGATACTGCAGCCTGGCTCCTGCGACGCCAACATACTGTAGCCACACTTCTCTTGAAACACACCTGATGTTCACAAAAGATATTCAGTAATTAACGCTATGACAAAAAACATGCATGACAGTAATCTGCAGTGACTCAATAAACAACATAGCTAAATGATTACATCACTTTAATTCCATTTTGTACACACATATATATATATATATATATATATATATATATATATATATATATATATATATATATATATATATATATATGTGTGTGTGTGTGTATATATGTGTGTTT